AATGGGAAAAGCCTTTATTTATTCTCTTATAATTTTAATAAAAAATGATTACTATACATTTAATTTAATATGTTTTCTGAAACTCGTATAATTTAATTATTAAAATATAATATAAGTACAATTTTATTCATTTAGTTTTTACATTATGTATATATACCTACATATGTAAATTTATTTATTTTAATTTTATTTAAAAAATAATAATTTTTTAATAAATATATTATACAGTGTATTCAATCAAAATGTGTACTAATTATTTTTCAATTTTAATATAACTAAACAAAAGAAAAAGATAATTGCAGCTGGCACCGTTCTCACAATCTCATCTTATAATTTTGTTATTTCTCTTCACAGTTATTTGATAATTGGGCTGAAAAAGAAAAACGGAAGTCGGCTTCTATTCGAAATCTTAATCTCAGATCCATAGGCTTAATCTTGGGAGGCCATCTCAACTTTACAACGTAAAAAGCAGGGAAATGAAATGGGCAATCTACCAAAAGGGTGAGATCCAAAACCATCACAAAGTTTGCAAAATTAATTGAGGGCTTGAGCACTTTCCAATGGGTCAAGCCCAGACAATATTGGGTAGAGCTCCGATTGTAAATGTTTTTGTCCGTCGGGATGGTTCGTGAACGGGTAATAGCTACGGATTTTACCATATACGTACGGGCTTTTGTCCGTAGCTACATGGTAAATTAGCCGTAGCTACATGTGAATCAAGATCATTATAGCCCAAAATAATTTCTCTTAAAATTTTTTTTATTCATAGAGTTAGAGACGTTTATTGTATGATTTTGTTTGAATTTTAATATTTTTTAAATTAAATTAATTTAATTTAATTTAAACTAATTAAATTTATTGTTATATAGTAATCGAACCAATGATGCAATCATGCATCATTAGGATGAAAACCGTTGTTAGGGTCATCACTATCTTTGTACCGATGATCGAGTGAACTGGTGCTGTGCGCTGTACGATATCATTGTCATTGTGAATCATACTGAGGCAAACAAATCGCACGGGGTGCCACTAGCAGCCAGAGCCAGGAAACTGGAGTTGCTGATCGTGTGTGGTGTGGTGGGTTATGATTGAAGTACCTCGTGCTGGCTGCGTATTTTCCAAGATAATTCAATATACTCACTCTGTATTGAGAAATAATTTTTGTGTAATTTTTCTATCTTATTTTTTTATAATTTAATATATCATTAAAAAAATTATATTTTTTAATTTATATAAAATTCATAATATTAAATGTATTTACTCATTTAATGACATATAAAAATTATATAAAAAAATAATATAAAAATATTATCCCTATAATACCATCTTTTTATATTTATTTTTTGAATTAATATCGTCCAACGTGTACTCGTCGGTAGAACACGCCATATCGAAGGTCTTCAATGATTGGCGTTTCATTATTGTCGCAGTTAGCTTACATGGGCAAATGCTAGAACGCGCGCTACTTCACAATTGTTATTGTTGTGCCTTGCCACTTGTACCGACTCTGTCCATTTATTACTTGTCTGTAATGAGGATTTATTGTTATGGGATAAGTTGGTGATTTTGATTAGCCCTCCTATTTCGACTATAATTTGACAAAGATTATTACTCCCATTTTAGAATGATAAAATTCTTTTATTTCATCTTTAGATTTAGAATTTATGAACAATTTATATTTTTATATATATATTACTTAAAAAATAAAAATAAAGAGATTTTTTATGATAGAATAAATAATTAAAGTTAAGAAAAAATAATATAAAGTTAAAATATTAAAAAAATATTTATTTTTATTAAAATATAAAAAATACTATTATTTTTTTAGAAAAATTCTAAATTAAAAACATTTATTATTCCATGATAGAGATAGTATTTTTTTATTTTAGATTTCATATAATAATAAGAAAATATAATCTTGTTCATCCCTTAACTCAAAACTACTTAAGGAGAGACTAACACTAAATTATTCCACTACTAGAAAACGCGGCATATGTGACAAGAATATATTCAACAGTCATATTTCTGTCGAAAATGTGTACATAATCGACAGAAAGATTGACGAAGATGTAAAATTGACGATGATAATGGAAACTTCTTGTTTAATCGACAATAATCATATTCGACAAAAAATTTGTCGAATATATAAATATATTCGACAGAAATTTTCTATCGATTAAACTTGGAAACATAATCGGCGCCAGTATGGTTGGCAACGACATCGTTTCCTCTGTATATTCGACAGCCAAAGCTGTCGAATATACTTGTTTCATATCATCCGCACCTCACCTTTCTTCCCCATTTCTGCTTTTCCCTCTGCGGCGGTAAATCTGGTTTCTTCTCTGGCGAAGCTTGCTGTCGCTGTTCTTCCGTTGCGCCCCTTGTCCTTCGCTTCGTGCCGGTGCCGGTGAGTTCGCCCCTCTCTCGGTCAATTGATTGATTTATTTTTGCATTTATTTTCCTTGGATTAACTTACAGTCGACACAGCACTCTACTTCAGCCATTGCATTGTTCCTTGTTGATCCTTGCCTTTTGGTTCAGCCTCCAGCATCTCTAAGCAACCACACCACGTGGAGGAGGTTTCCTGGAAGTTGCAGCACAATTTTTTTTTTTTTTTTTGGTTTTACTTGT